CCCGTGTTAATTTTAATATTTGTATGTATGTGTTTTATCCTGTGTAATTTCTGCAGTGTAAATCGCCTGGAGCATCTTGGATGGAGGGCAATTAATAAGTAATTAAAGATGATGATGATGAGATGAGGTTAAACAGCTCTTTAGACGCTCCTCATAGGGATTGTTCATGGTCTCTAGAACTTTGATCCTTTGAGTCTCCCTCTTCCTCTGTTCACCTTCCAGCTTAGAGTCAATCTCTCTTTTGAACCGTGGGGCCCAGAACTGGACCCAGTGTGATTCCAGGTGAAGAGGTCTGACCGAAGCAGAAGAGAGAGGCGCCCGGACTTCCCTCCATCCGGACGCTCCTTGTAATGCAGCCCAAACCCCACTGGCTCTTTTGGTTGCTGCATCCCACTGTTGGCTCACGTTCACCCTGTTGGCCACGAAGACTCCAAAATCCCTTCCACATTTAGACTCCTAAATTGAAATGGCATTTATTGATTTTTATTTATTTCATGTCATTTCTCCCCGGCCCTTCTCCCCACAAAGGGGACTCAGGGCGGCCTCACATAACGGATAGGCATATCCTTGGAATCCTGAGAATGAGGACATCTCCATCTTAGGAAGGTCCTGTGGCCTAGTCTGGTTCATTGAGAGGGGGAGGGAGGAGAAAGGGCAGGCTTCTAATATATGTGATTTCACAGCGCTTGTTGGGTATACAATATGTACTGTTATTCCTTTCTTTGTGCAGATTTAGAGATGTTTACTTATTGTGTCAGGTGCGAACCAAACAGTTGTATTGCATTAAAAACAAACAAAACACAAAGTTTGCAAGCTTGGTAGTTGATTAAATGTGCTTTGACCAGTATCTGGCCACTTGGAGTGCCTCTCGTGTTGGCGTAAGAAGTTCCTCCCTTGTGCATGTGGCAGGGCTCAGGGTGCATTGTAGCAGGTGGTCAGTGGTTTGCTCTTCTCCACACTCGCATGTCGTGGATTCCACTTTGTAGCCCCATTTCTTAAGATTGGCTCTGCATCTCGTGGTGCCAGGGCACAGTCTGTTCAGCACCTTCCAAGTCGCCCCGTCTTCTTCTGTGTGCCCAGGGCGGAGTCTCTCATTTGGTATCAGCCACAGATTGAGGTTCTGGGTTTGAGCCTGCCACTTTTGGACTCTCGCTTGCTGAGGTGTTCCAGTAAGTGTCTCTGTAGATCTTAGAAAACTATTTCTTGATTTAAGTCGTTGGCATGCTGGCTGATACCCAAACATGGGGTGGGCCAGAGATGTCACCGCCTTGGTCCTTTCACTGTCAGCTGCTACACCTGCTAAACAGTGTAATTTCTCCAGTGTAGGGTGTAGGGTGCAGGCACCCCATAATGATGCAGCAGATATAGAGATGGTCTGGTTTGTTGTCTCTAGAACACGCAACATATAATTGTCCATGTGAGAAGCAATCCCATGTCAAGATGTAAACCTCAGAATTCTAAAGATTGCCCGTCAGCATGAATATAGATAGATCGATGGATGGATATGGATCCCTTTCTTTCTCTGCCCTCCCTTTGGGGAGATTGACAGGAAGTGTGGCTTCCTGGTAGGCCACACCCATATTATTTTCCTTAAGGGAGTGACCTCAATGCCCCCCCCCCCCCGCTCCCTATAATTGTTGTTGTTGTTGTTGTTGTGAGTGAGGGAGTGGGGCTCCAAAGACACATCCCTCCCTAAACCCACGTCTTGATGAATGGCAGCTAAATTCGCGAGCTCCTGAAGGAGGAAAATATAATGAGCTAAAACTCCAAAATTCGACAGGATCACAGTGAGTAATCAACGTCTTCAGATGAACTGAGAAAAGCAGAACAAGGGAGCATTAATGAACTGATAAAAAGTGAGAGTTAAAAGCTAATAATAGCTACTTTCACTTTTATACCTCTCCACTCAGATCTCTCCCGGCATGTAATTATAAGAAAACAAGTAATGATTAATGTCTGTTTGAAATCGGAAAGAAAGAATTTTGCCAGTACAGCTTTGTCACAGCAAGAATTATTATAGCTAAATCGGGAGAGAGAAAGAGAACTACTTAAGAGAAATTGGAAAGAAACTTACTTACGTAGGCGATCCCTTTTTGTCTGAGTAAGATTGTCCTCCAAATTCGGTGTCCTGGCGGTGGGTGCGTAGGTGACTGTGGAGCCCTATTCTTGACCCACATCTCCTCCCGCAGTGCGGGCATCGGTTTCCAGAACGAAGGCGTTCCCAGCCAGGGTTGGCTTGGCATGTCTTCCTCTTGGCACGTTTCTCTCTTTCGCCCTCTTATTTGTGCCTCTTCAAATTCTACAGCACTGCTGGTCACAGCTGACCTCCAGCTAGAGCGCTCAAGGGCCAGGGCTTCCCAGTTCTCGGTGTCTGTGCCACAGTTTTTAAGGCTGGCTTTGAGCCCATCTTTAAATCTCTTTTCCTGTCCTCCAACATTTCATTTTCCGTTCTTGAGTTCAGAGTAGAGCAACTGCTTTGGGAGACGGTGGTCGGGCATCTCTGCTTCATTCAGTCCAGCGGAGGTGTTGGCAGAGGAGCATCACTTCAGTGCTGGTGGTCTTTGCTTCTTCCACCACAATGACATTTGTCCGCCTGTCTTCCCAAGAGATTTGCAGGATTTTTGGGAGGCAGCGCTGATGGAATCATTCCAGGAGTTGCACGTGACGTCATTAGATAGTTCACATTTCACAGGCGTATAGCAGGGTTGGGAGGACGATGGCTTTATAAACATGCACCTTGGTCTCCCTACGGATGTCCCGGTCCTCAAATGCTCTCTGCTTCATTCGGAAGAATGCTGCACTTGCAGAGCTCAGGAGGTGTTGTATTTCAGTAGTGTCAATGTTGACTTTTGTGGCTGCCGAGGGAGTGGGAATGCTCCACATCTTCTAATGTTACATAATTAATTAATAGATGATATACAAATGGCCAAACTTTGAGATAAAAATGATGATGATTTTGTAAACAAATGGCGGCTGGTCTTTGCCTATCTTGGAAAGAAGGCAGAAGTTGGCCTTAAGGATGCTGCAAGCGGAACTATGTGAGGAGCTTGTATGGGAAGGTAGTACACGTCCAAGGTGATGGGTTCGCGGGTGCAGGGATGGAGGGACGGCATTGGCTCCTGTGTTTGTTTCTGTCTCTGTATGCTGTGTGCTCTGTTTGTAAACGTGTATCTCTGGGTTTTTCATTATTTAACTAATACACTAGAATTTTTATAAAGCAGAAGCTCATTTTGTGAACCTTCCAACAAGCCTGAATGTGAGTTTGAATTAGTCAGGTGGGGAGGCGGGTCTTGGTTGGCTGCAGGATTCCTTTGGGAAAAGACGGGGAATTTGTGGGCAGCCGGCGTCTGATTTGGGATGCTCAGGAAGGAGATCTGGAGCCCATCGTGGGATGGTAAGCAGCCCAGGACTCTTTGTGTCCCTCCGCATTGAGCACACTGTTTCTCAACCTTCCTAATGCCGCGACCCCTTCATACAGTTCCTCGTGTTGTGCTGACACCAAACCATACAATGATTTACACTGCTCCTTCACGGCTACTTCACAACTTTAATTCTGCTACTGTTATGAATCGTAGTGTAAATATCTGATATGCAAGACGTGTTTTCATTCACTGGACCAAATTTGGACCAAATACTTGATACGCCCACTTTTTATTTATTTATTAGGCAATGCCTTGTAGCTCAAGGATGAGGGCCTTCCAGATGTGGTGTCTTGGCAGTGGGTCTGCAGATGGCTGTGGAGCCCTAGTCTTGACCCACATGTTCTCCCGCATTGAGGACATCGGTTTCCGGGTGGCAATGAACTTCACTGCCCAAATTTGAATACCGGTGGTGTTGGGGGTCTGTTTTGGAATTCTGGAAGTTGTAGTTCACAAACACCAAAAAGGAAGAGAAGGACAGGCAGAAAGATCTTCAAAAGGCTTCTTAAGACCATCAGAAATATGTGTTTTACGATGGTCTTTGGTGACCCCTCTGAAAGTCCCCTTGCTGCCCCCCCAAGGGTCCCGCCCCCTAGGTTGGGAAACACTGCCTTATATCGACCTGCTTGGGCACTGAGATCTTCAGGAGAGGCCCTTCCCTTGGTCCCACTTCCATCTCAAGCTTGGTTGCTGGGAATGAGAGAGAGGGCCTTCTCAGTGTCTGCCCCTTGACTCTGGAACTCCCTCCTCAAGGAAGCCAAAATGGCCCCCTCCTTGCTGTTGTCCTTACTGATGAGGCTAAAACTTTTTTATTCAGGCAGGCTTTTAAAGAAGAAGATTTTAAAGATCACTTCAGGGGGTGTTGTGGTTTTTAATCTTGAGTATGTTTTAATGGTTTTTATCTGGGAATGTTTAAATACCGTTTATATTTAATTCTGTTTTAATGTCTGCATATTTTTATGTTTTAAATTGTATGCTGATGTTTTATGTTCAGCTGCTTTCAGTATCCATGAGGGGAGATAAAGCAGGCTATAAATCAATATAATTTTATTTATTTCGTATAAAAAGCATTGCATAAATTAGTATAAAACCGATAAAAATAGAGGAGCGCAGGTGGCTAAATATCTTTTGACCAAAAATGGGCAACAGCATTGTCTGTAGCCTCCAACAATTCCTCCTCTGTACATGAGGCAGGGCACAGTGGATACAGATGCGGAGTTGTCTGTTCTGCTCCACAGTCACATAAAGTGTGGGATTCTTTTAGATCGTGCCATTTTGCCAGGATGTCTTTTGATCTGCCCACTCCACTTCTGAGTCTGTTCAGGGACTTCCAATTTGCCCGTTCTTGGTTTGCCCCTCGAGAAAAGACCCTCCCTTGTGGGGGGGCATCCAGTTGGGGTTTCCTGGTCTAGCTGCCCAGAGGGAAGCTCTTGCTGTTGCTGGGGAGACGCCAAGAGGAGTGGCAGTTCTCATAAAGCTTTTCCTTGATTTGAGTCCACCGGGAGGAGGCTGGCAGCCATGCAGTGGATGGCTTTCACAATCAATATAATAATAATAACCTTTCACTTCTTTCTTAACCAGGTAAATGAGGATTCTATGCAGCTACCTCTTAGATGCACTAAAGAACCAATAATATAAGAAGAAATCCTTTCAAGGTGATGATCTTGCAGAATTCTTGACCTCACAGATAAGAAAGGAAAATACGAAAGAGTCAAGTATCCAAATAACAATTACACACCCATATCACTCTTGACATGGAGGAGAGAGCATTTGAGTGCCTGGAGTGTGGAATGAGTTTCACTTGGAGGGATGATCTGCAGCAGCATGAAAGAACTTCTACTGGAGAGAATCCCTACAAATGCCTGGAGTGTGGAAAGAGCTTCCCTCTAAGTTCAGGTCTACATTTGAATCAAAAGACTCACACTGGGAAAGAACCATACACATGCTTGGAGCTTGGGAAGAGCTTCACTCACAGTTCAAGTCTACGATTGCATCAAGGGACTCACACTGAGGAGAAACCCTATAAATGCTTGGAGTGTGGAATGAGCTTCACTGAGAATGGAACTCTACGTTCACATCAAAGGATTCACACTGGGGAGAAACCCTATAAATGCCTGGAGTGTGGGCAATGCTTCACTCGGAATGGAAATCTACGTACACATCAAAGGACTCACACTGGAGAGAAACCCTATAAATGCCTACACTGTGGACAGAGCTTCACTCAGAGTGACAATCTACGTACACATCAAAGGACTCACACTGGGGAGAAACCCTATAAATGCCTACAGTGTGGACAGAGCTTCACTCAGAGTGGAAGTCTACGTACACATCAAAGGACTCACACTGGGGAGAAACCCTATAAATGCCTGGAGTGTGGAAAGAGTTTCTCTAAGAGTGAAAATCTACGTACACATCAAAGGACTCACACTGGGGAGAAACCCTTTAAATGCCTGGAGTGTGGAAAGAGTTTCGCTTCGAGTTCACATCTACATAGACATCAAAGAACTCACACTGGGGAGAAACGCTATAAATGCCTACAATGTGGACAGAGGTTCACTGACAATGGAGGCCTACTTAGACATGAAAGGACTCACACTGGGGAGAAACCCTATAAATGCCTGGAGTGTGGAAAGAGTTTTGCTCGGAGTTCAGTTCTACGTTCACATCAAAGGACTCACACTGGGGAGAAACCCTATAAATGCTTGGAGTGTGGACAGAGCTTCACTGAAAGTTCAAGTCTACGTACACATCAAAGGACTCACACTGGGGGGAAACCCTTTAAATGCCTGGAGTGTGGACAGAGCTTCACTCAGAGTGGAAGTCTACATACACATCACAGGACTCACACTGGGGAGAAACCCTATAAATGCCTGGGGTGTGGAAAGAGTTTCTCTAAGAGTAATAATCTACGTAGACATCAAATGACTCACACTAGGGAGAAACCCTTTAAGTGCCTGGAGTGTGAAATGAGTTTCGCTTGGAGTGAAAATCTACATTCACATCAAAAGACTCACACTGGGGAAACCCTTTAAGTGCCTGGAGTGTGGAAAGAACTTCACTCAGAGTGGAATTCTACGTAGACATCAAAGGACTCACACTGGGGAAAAACCCTTTAAGTGCCTGGAGTATGGAAAGAGCTTCACTGAGAATGGAAGTCTATGTATATATCAAAGGACTCACACTGGGGAGAAACCTTATAAATGCCTAGAGTGTAGACAGTCCTTCAGTAGCAGTGGACATCTACGTTCACATCAAAGGACTCACACTGGGGAGAAACCATTTAAATGCCTGGGGTGTGGACAGAGCTTCACTCAGAATTCACATCTATGTTCACATCAAAGGACTCACACTGGGGAGAAACCCTTTAAATGCCTGGAGTGTGGACAGAGGTTCTATCAGAGTGGACATCTACGTTTACATCAAAGGACTCACACTGGGGAGAAACCCTTTAAATGCCTGGAGTGCGGAAAGAGTTTCGCTTCGAGTTCACATCTACATAGACATCAAAGAACTCACACTGGGGAGAAACGCTATAAATGCCTACAATGTGGACAGAGGTTCACTGACAATGGAGGCCTACTTAGACATGAAAGGACTCACACTGGGAAGAAACCCTATAAATGCCTGGAGTGTGGAAAGAGTTTTGCTCAGAGTTCAGTTCTACGTTCACATCAAAGGACTCACACTGGGGAGAAACCCTATAAATGCTTGGAGTGTGGACAGAGCTTCACTGAAAGTTCAAGTCTACGTAGACATCAAAGGACTCACATTGGGGGAAAATAATATATATACTATCATAACACAATAAAACCTTTTTTATAGACTCAGGGGACTCGAGGTTTACACAAAAAGAAAAAATCAAACATTCAATGCCCTATGTGAATACCCTTTAAGTGCCTGGAGTGTGAAATGAGTTTCGCATCTTAAAAGCATCTTAAAAATAAAACAAAATAATAACATAAACTTATAACAAAAGAAAAATTAACTTCAGCATGTTGTTCATTCGTTCAGTCGTCTCCGACTCTTCGTGACCTCATGGACTAGTCCACGCCAGAGCTCCCTGTCGGCCGTCACAACATCAGCATAAAAAACAAAATATGAGTAATCCAATAACAACCTATTAAAAAGATAGAAATAGAGGAAGTTATTAAGAAATTAAAAGTAGGGAAAGCTCCAGGTTTGGATGGTCTAGGGACAGAATATTATAAAAGCTTCAGAGAAGTCTTAACTCTAAAATTATTAGAATTGTATAATGGAATAATGAAGGGAGATAAAATACCAGAATCGTGGAGGAGATCATTAATAATATTAATACCTAAACCTGACAAAGACTTAACAGACCCAGGGTCATACAGGCCCATATCGTTAGTTAATCAGGATGCAAAAATATTGTCCACGATAATAGCTAATAGATTGAATAAATGCATGTATAAGTATATAAAAGATGAGTGCGGGTTTGTAAAAGGAAGACAAATGTCAAATCTGATAGGGAGAGTATTAAAAAAATTATTTGGCTAAAGAGGGGAAGGAAAAAGTAGGGATATCATTAGATATTTTTAAAGCGTTTGACTGTGTGGAATGGGAGACATTAAGGGAAATCCTGAATAAATTTGGAATGGGAAATAGAATAAAAGGAATTTTAAAACAATTTTATTCAAGGAATTCAGCAGTGGTAACCATAAACGATGGAGTGACAAATGATATAAAAGTGACTAGAGGAACTAGACAAGGGTGCCCTTTGTCGCCGATACTATTTGCTATGGTGATAGAACTGTTTGCCAATGGCATAAGGAACGATAAGAATCTAGAAGGGTTAGGAAAAAAGGAGAAACAGAAGGTGAGTTTATTCGCTGACGATACATTGTTATTTATAGAAAACATAGTAGAGAAAATGGATAAAATAAAAGAACATTTGGAGATATTTGGGAAAACAACGGGCTTACAAGTTAATTGGAATAAGTCAGAAATGATGCTACTTAATTATACAAGGGAAGAAGAAAAAGATTTTATAGAACAGTAAAATGGGAATAAGAATTAAGAATAAATTAAAATATTTGGGAGTAATAATAACAAAAAGAGATGGAAGAAGTAAATGTAGTAACATTAAGGAAAGAGGTTCAGAAAAAATTAATAGAGTATGAAGATATATGTCTATCCTGGTTTGGAAGAATAGCATTAGTAAAAATGAAAATACTTCCAAAGATAAACTTTAGATTTAGGATGTTACCTCTTCAAATCACAGAAGAAGAACTAACTAGATGGCAACAAATGATTAATAAGTATTGTAATGGAAGTAAAAGAAATGGATTAAATAAACAGTTATGATACAGATCGCAAAAAGAGGGCAGACTAGCGCTACCTAATATTAAAAAATATTATGAAGCAAGTAGATTAAGTCTGGTTATAGAAGGAATGGTTAAAAAAGAGGGAATAGATTGGCTTAGTAATGATTCAGAAAAAGTGGAAGATGAAATTTGGAATATATTTTTTAAACAGTTTACTAGAAAAGAAATGAGGGAAATTAGAAACCCAATGTTGAGCAATATACTGGAAGTATGGAACAAATATAGGAGGAAGTTAATAAGGGAGGGATCAATTATAACCCCAATAGTGATGGAAAAGAAGTTTCCAAAAAATTTTTTAAAAAGTAATGGATAAAAAGGTAAGAGAAATAAATTTAGATAGGATAGGGGACTGGATGAAGGTGGGAATGAAGAGGAAATGATGTTGGAAGAGTTTAAAGAAATAAAATTGTCATGGTTCCATTGTATACAATTAGAACAATGGTTTAAAAACTGGGGGGGAAATAATAGAAATGGAAGCCAACCTAATCAATTTGAACAAATAATACAGAAGGGAAGGGCTGTAGAAGAACATGAAAACTTGAGAGGTATAATTAGCAAAATTTATAAGATATTAACTGAAATGAAGGAGGGAAAAATAAAGAATACCCTTAAGGAGATTTGGGAAGAAGATTTAGGGATAAAAATAAGTGAAACAGAGTGGCAACAATTATGGGGACAAAGACATTTAAAAATCTATCAATACGGGTTAAAGAAAATTATTACAAGTTAATATGGAAGTGGTATTTGACACCAGTAAGAATAGCATATATGAATAAAAATAACTCAATAAATTGTTGGAGAGGGTGTCAAGAACCAGGAACATATATACACATGTGGTGGCAATGTAAATATGTAAATAACTTTTGGGAGAAAGTATTTAGAGAAATAGAAGATATAATGAATATGAACATTGATAAAAGTCCTAGTATAGCTTTATTATCATTATATAATAATAAGCAATTGAAAAAGGAGGATAAAGAAACGATAACAAACTTATTAACAATAGCAAGATTGCTCATAGCAAGGAATTGGAAAAAAGAAATGAATATACAAATAGAGGAGTGGTATAAGGAAGCATGGAAATTAGCAATAAATGATAAGCTGACATGTATATTAAAGGTTAAAAGAGGTATATGGAAACAAAGCGACTTTGATGCTGTATGGGGAAAATTTGTTGTAAATGGTCTAAAAAACAAGGAAGGAAAGTTACCGTCACAAGAAATGAGATTTTGGACAGATGATATGTAAAAATTGTGGCTTGAGACGGGTGGAGGGGAGCACTGTGGTGAAAATAAAAAGGGGGAAAATGTTAAAGCAAAATAATAAAACAACATGTTAAAGAGTGTGCTGTACAAAATGTAACAGTAACAACAAATGTATAACAAATGTAGCAATTGTGATAAATCAATAAAAAATTATTATTAAAAAACCCCAAAAAATGTAATTATACTGATAACATAATTAACAATTGAGACATAGACCCTGAAAAAACGATTAAAATACCTAAAATGCTACCATGGTTGTTCTTTCTCATGTAGCATAGCAGCAGTGGAGTACAAATAAATTAGCCTATACATGCCTGGAGTGTGGGCAGAGCTTTGCCCTGAGTGGAGATCTACACACACATCCAAGGACTCACACACGGGAGAAACCCTGCGCATGCCTGGAGTGTGGACAGAGCTTTGCCCTGAGTGGAGATCTACACACACATCCGAGGACTCGCACTGGGGAGAAACCCTATGCATGCCTGGAGTGTGGACAGAGCTTCAGTGAGACTGGAAATCTACATATAGACATCAAAGAATTCACATTGGGGAGAAACCTGATAAATGCCTAGAGAGTGGACAGAGCTTCACTCAGAATGGAAGTATACATACACTTCAAAGGATTCATGTTTGGGAGAAACTCTAGGCATGCCTAGAGTGTGCACAGAGCTTCAGCCGCAGAACAGGTCTAGGTTCACATCAATGAACTCACACTGGGGAGAAACCCTATGGCATGTGAAAGCTTCTCTGAGGGTTGAACTCTACATAGACATAGCATTCACATTGGAGAGAACAGTTGTATCTGGCCCCAGAGACACTCTCTAAGATGGAGTTTTCCAAACTTTTCATGTTGCTGATACACATTTTCGACATACGTCATTTTGTGACATGATAATTCGGTTTAACTGGCATCCTGGAGGTTAAGATAAGGGTAAAGGTAAAGGTTTTCCCCTGATATTAAGTCCAGTCGTGTCATCTCCATTCCTAAGCTGAAGAGCTGGCGTGGTCCGTAGACATCTCCAAGGTCATGTGGCCAGCGTGACTGCATGGAGTGCCGTTACTTTCCCGCCAGAACAGTACCTATTGGTCTACTCACATTCGCATGTTTTCGAACTGCTAGGTTGGCAGAAGGTAGGGCTACCAGCCGGAGCTCTCCCTGCTCACCGGATCCAAACCTCAGTGATGCCCCCTTGACTCGAACTCACATCTCAAGGACATCAGACATGCCCCAACTTTGGCAATCTTTAGGAGCCTGAAAACATGGTTGTTCCAGTGTGCCTTCCCCAGAAAAAGGAAACTCTTAGCAATATGTCCTCTAAACGCACTTTATCATTGATTTAGGATTGCATGTGCACCCTCATCTCTCTCTGAAACTCAATCCCAGTTATATTATTTATTTTACAGTTTTTATATTCCGCCCTTCTCACCCTGCAGGGGACTTAGGACGGATTACAGTATCTGCTTTGAACTGGAATATATGGCAGTGTGGACTCAGATAACCCAGTTCAAAGCAGATATTTTGGGATTTTCTGCCTTGATTTTCTGGTATATAAAGATGTGTGGAGGGCACCTGGGTGCTCTTCCACACAGCCGTATAACCCAGAATATCACGGCAGAGAATCCCACTATATCTGCTTTGAATTGGAATATATGGCAGTGCGGACTCAAGATAACCCAGATATTGTGGGATTTTCTGTCAGAATTATTGAAAGTATGCATGTATGTTTTTAATGTGTTTCAATATGATTAACAATGATGTTCATATGTATTTCAAGATGGATTCAGTTATGTTCAGTTAGAATTGTTATTGTAAGAGACAATTAGCCTCAGAGAAAAGACACCTTGGCCGAAGTGAGATAAGTTTTCCTCTGTCTGGGAAGAAATAGAGAGTATTCTACTGATAAGCAGATGTTCTGAGACTGTGCTGTGCTGTGCTTTGTAGTTTCGCCCGCCAAGATATAGACCTGTCTTGAGATGCTTTAAGTAAACTTTGTTATTTTTGAAACTGAAGACTGCAGTGTCCTGTTTTTGCGTCTGTGTGATCTAGTAGCCTCATCTCCGCTGCGCTTAGCCCCCAGGGTCTAACTCTGACAAAAGGGTTATGGGCCCAGCCTGCGTTCCAGACCTGACTTGTGTTCCTGACCTGACAGAGTTGTGGGGATGTTGCTGGAGGTTTACTAAGATCCAGACCTGGAAACTTGCTGACCAGAACCGTGGAG